ACCTCCTCTCCTAGGTTCACGAAACGGTCGTCCATAAAATGCATTGCTGTTCTGTTGCACAAAGATTCCTAAATGCATCTACTTTCGGAAGGCCAAATAAAGTGCTTTTGCTTTCGCACTGAAACACACAGCGTCTCCCTGACATGGCTACTTAAACACTAACTGCTGTTCCTGAAACCACGCCTTATTTCTTTGCATGCACATTTGGGCCGCATTATGCAAATATTTCCACATAGTGAGGTAGATATGTTGGGGCGTGTTAGAACGAGCTGTTTTAGGGGGGCATGGCAGAGTCTTAACTTTGATGAAGAATATCTCTTTGGTTTTGAGACTTTAGTCTTTGCAACTTCAGGGATCTTATCTATGCACAATCAGCTTGTAACACACCAAAGAGAAAGGAAAACTTGAAATCGCATCATATGACCCCTTTTTAATTTGCTGTAAAGTTGCTTTGCAACGATTTGTATCGTGAAAAGTGCTATATAAATAAACTTGAATTTAATATGCAACTGAAATAGTGCAAAACAAGTACAGAAAGTGCATTCTGTCAACTTTTTTGGTGCATGCAATTCACAACTTACACTGTGCAACTGGGGGAAATAATTAAAATGGGATAAGTATTTTTTTTACAAGTTTTTAGCTAAGAACAAGTCTGTCAACTGTCTCTGGTTTAAGAGAAGCTCTGTGGCATGAAACTATGTTCCCACTGGCACTAAAAACCCTCTCAGATGGGAAGCTAGTAGCTGGAACACATAGGTATTTCTTATATATATATATATATCAGAATGAGCTTTATTGCCAGGTATGTTTTCACATACGAGGAATTTGTTTTCATGACAGAAGCTTCTGCATTGCAAAAATGACAGCAACAGAACAAAAACGGATAATAATAAAAAAAAAAAAATAGAACAAGTAAGTAAGGAATAACAATATATAAATTGACAATTGTATGTGCAGGTATATTACAATAGACAGTTTTGTATGTACAGGTATATTATGTGCAAATTTGAGGTGTAGACTAAGTATGTGTGTTAGATAAATAAGTGTATGAGTGTATAAATAGTGTTGTGTGTTCCACAGTTTTTGTCAAGTGTTTATGAGATGGATTGCCTGAGGGAAGCTGTTCTTGTGTCTGGCCGTTCTGGTGCTCAGTAGCGTCGACCAGATGGCAACAGTTCAAAGAGGGAGTGTGCTGGATGTGAGGAGTTCAGAATGATTTTGCTAGCCCTTTTGCTCACTCTGGATGAGTACCGTTCTTGAAGAGAAGGGAGATATATACATAGTAATTCCAAATTGCCATAGCCTATGTTTCTCTATTCAAACAACAGCGGTTGAGTAAGTGCATTTATTCAGCGATCACAATCGAAAACAATATAGTCGAGATCTCATGACAGAACACAGACTGGTTGAGTGACACTTTCATTTAGATTGCTAAACTCCAGCTTGTGTGTTGGTGTTTTCAGATCATCGATTGGGTCAGGTGACCAGATGTCATTTTAGAGCCAGGTTCAAGTTAATGCTGGCTAGAGCAGATCTCTAACTGAAAGTAATTTTGGATGAAAAGTACCTGCTAAAAAGAAAGTAAAGGCTTGTTCACATCTAGATTGTTTAGTGCAAACATTTAGCGTGATAAACATTTAAGTTTTAAGGAACAGCTGTCAATGCATCTATTCAGACCAACACGAACATTCACATGCCATCAGAACAAGTGATTTATTTATTTTTATTCAGAAGTATTCTAATATATTCCATATTTCAATTTAATATATTCCACTGGACCTCAAGTAAAACTGGCTAACCAATAAGATTTGCGCTTTTGCCCGAAACCACTGCTGTTGTATAAAACTATAAATTAGTGGTGATACAAACAGAATTTGGCAGTGACAGTGAATAGAAGAATCCAGAATCAGTCTGAATTTTCATGCCAATCATTAGTCTGTGTGAATAGGCCTTAAAGCGATAGTTCACCAAAAAATTTAAATTCTGTCATTTACTCACCCTCAAGTTGTTCTAAACATGTATGAGTTTCTTTCTTCTGCTGAACACAAAAGAACATAATATTAATAATGTAAGTAACCAAACAGTTGCTGGTAGCCGTTGCCTTCCATTGTATGAAATAAAAAAAAAATGAATAGAAGTCAATGGCTACAGTCAACTGGTTACCAGCAATCTTCAAAATATCTTCTTTTGTATTCAACAGAAGAAATAAATTGATACAGGCTGGGTGAGTAAATCAGGGCAAGTCAATTATTTTAAAAATATTTTTATTTTTGGGTGAACTATCCCTATCCCGTTTTTGCAACAGAAAAATGCAACATTTATTTCACTGGGCCCTGAAATGGGAAAATGTATTTTATTTCTCGAAAATGAAAGTGCTTTAGTAAACACTAGTAGTGTAGGTTTGAGATACATACAGTATGCCATTAAGTGATGTGCAAACTGGAATGAAGCAGAGATCAGGGAGCTCCTCACTATCTGCGCTGAGATCATTCGCTAGCTTAGAGAAACTGTGTGCGTCACATTACATGTCACATGTCTTTACGGGATCCTTATGGGATGTGTGTGAATGCATGCACAGATTCCGGAAAATCACTGGCAGTGTGAATTAACCAAAATTAAACGATCCTGGGAGAAATCACGGGACACGTTGTCCGTGTATTTTCCGGAATCTCAGTGGAAACAGCTACATTAAGCTTCTTTCACACAATGACAATATGACTAAATTCAGAGCTGGTGGTGGAGATAACTGGACTCTCTCAATCCAATTCATTCAGCCTGTTTACAAAACAACTGATAACAAGAGATGGTTAGGATCTGAAAGGGCAGGGAAACACTGGAGGAGACAATCTGTGTGTACAGGGGAGTTTATCGAGTAAATGATAGAAAGGTAACGCTCAACAAAATCCTTTCTCCCGTTCATAGAACCCCAGTGTGCTGTTAGTGTGTGACGGAGTGAGAGAGCATGCAACAGCTGTGCACGAATAATCACACTGACATCTTGCATAGCCGAACCAATACAATCTCACCACTTCTGTGATATCACACACTAAAATAATAATAAAACCATTTGTGCATTCCTAATTTCCTACAGAGGAAAAATAAGTATGACTTACCTCTTTTTCTAGTTCTATTTTTCCTTGCAATCCACTGCCTTCAACAGTCCATAACCCAGCTATTTATACCTGAGGATGAGGCTGGTAGCTAACAGACACCCACCAAGACTAAGACTAACTGTTTCTATTCAACAAGTCCTCTAGATTCTTCGAAGCTCTATGCAGTCAAGAGTGGACCAAACTCTGGCAGCGTGCGTCCCTCCCCCGATGACGACAACAGCCAGTCACGTGAGTGCATAAAAAGCAGAAGCGAGCTAGTGTTGCCCTGGCAACAGGCAGACAGTTCTATAGTGATTTCAATAGGTCATCTGTAAAAGCTGCGCTGAAAGACCCTCACAAAACCACAGTCTAATCCGCAGTCAAAATGAGAGAGTGTTTTGAAAGAAAAGCTTCAGTGTAGACAGGAAGCTGCGTTCAACGGTGAAAAGGAAACCACATGAAGTGTGCAACGATATGAGAAATGTGAATACACAATCGTCAGATTGTTGCAGTGTAATGTGCTGCATGAAGAAGCGTGGAGGTATGAAAAGCAGTGTTGTAATAGCGTTTCTAGCAGTTTCAGACAATGCTTCCCTCAATCAAAGCAGGAACAGAGACGTTCTGGTGCTGAGTCAATGGTTCCCATGAGACTTTGGACCCAGATTATAAACATTCTTTGGTAATCAGAAACACAGAGGAAGGCAGAACATAAACAGACTTCAGCTTCATGATGTCAACATTACAATCCCAATCAAATTCCCTGAGATAAATCATTTAGCTTTTGTGTGATATAATGAATTTGTATGTAGAGATGCACCGATTGACCGGCCAGTGATCGGAATCGGACGAATTTTCGCATGACCGGCCCGGAACGGTGAGCGTCAGTCTCACGTCTTGCCGATTCCGAGCCGATCCTTTTATTGCCATTTTATTTAGGCACGCTGCATTCTGATTGGATCGGCTAGCATACTGCAGGAGGTCGGGGGTGCGGAAAATCGTGCTGTAAAGCGATTTAGAAATCGCGCATGCTAAAATCGCGATTTTATGACGATTTCGATTAATCACACTGCCCTACTGTGAAGGAAAGAAAATGCATTTTTATATTAGATCTGTGTATTAAGTGACAACAGTGTAATATATAGTACCTAAACTGCTGTCTACGCTGTTAATATGACCGAAACAATAAATAAAAACAAACAAAAATGTGACATCACATTGCTCAGAGAATCAAAACGGCAGGTCTAATAAGACTGATTTGGTTTAATGGGGATTAAAAAGTAAGGAGTGGGTGGATTTTTATCATTGTAGGGTGGTTGTGTTCACACACTGCCAACACACATTTATGTCCAAACACCATCTAAAAGTGGATTTTGCATAATACGTGCCCTTTAAGGTGGATGGAGTATATATACAGCAGCATGTCTCACTGTTGACACTGCTTCTTGAACTAATAGCAAAAGTGAGTAGAATGTGGAAAGACTTTAAATGCAAAAATTGTTTACATAAAATAAATTATTAATTCCCCCAATCTGGACTAAGTTACAGATTTTCTCTCACTTAAACGACTCTCAAAATAAAGTGCTCTGTGACTGGAAAGAGGAAGAAATAGTTAACTTAAAATTAGTTGCTGTATGTAACCAAGCAGATGTCATTTCCCACTATGTTTATAAATGGTCATTTTTTCCCCCTAACCTTATTAAATGTGTCATCTTTCACATCAAATTCTTACTTTGTTTCAATTAATTCAGTTATAATAATAAGAAACTGTAGAGTTGTTACCATTCAAATGAAATTAGTATGAACAAACTCTCTCTTTCCACTGCTGAGGAAACAGAAGCTGCATCTGAAGTGGCATCAGATGCATTTACACGGACAGTTTGATGAAGCTGAGGTGCCAAATGCATTTACACTGCAAAATTTCAAATGCATAACTAATTTTAGAAGATTAATGTTTTACATATTTTTTTAAACACAAATAAATGTTGGAAAAATGCAATGATGCTTTTAAATATGACTAAACCACTAGTAGGTGGCGGCAAATGTCTGTTTTAATGAGTAAGTCATTTATTCATTCATTCAACTGATTCATTCAAACGGCTGATTCATTCAGAAACGAGGCAAGTGACTGTCCTTATGAATGGGCCACTGAATCATTGACTTGCTCGATTCGTTCAAAAACGTGGATTCATTCAGTAAGAAAACTCCGCTGTGTGTTGCTCGGAGACACACAACAGTCCTGCAGTGGCTTTGATCGGAACTATTATCGTCAGCGAAGTTGAGCAAAAACCATCAATATTTTGTCTAAAATCTAAGTCACTTAATTTTAACTTCTTGTTTACTGAAATACTATTGTATAAAATCAGTGTCACATTGCAATCGTGTTGATAATTGATATTCGGGGAAACATCATGGCCGTACAATGTTGCTTACCTAAATCATATTTTGTAAATATCTTATTTTTTTTCTACCGCAGTATTAGGACTGTGCGATATGGACAAAAAAAAACCTATCGCGATTTCTTTGATCAATTTTGCGATTTCGATTTTAATCACGATTTTGACACACAGACATGCTTTAGTCATAAATGCATTCAGTGTGAATTTGAAACATATTTCCAAAAGAAAACCAATTAGAGCTTTATCAACAATCTGTAACATGTCTCTAGAACAGACATAAGGCAAAATAATCACTGAGTAAAGGTGTAACAAAATGTCTCTAGAATAGACATATGGCAGAAAAAAGAAATCTTTAAAGCATGTCCGTGTGTGTCATAATCGTGATTAAAATCGAAATCGCAAAATTGATCAAGAAATCGCGATAGGTTTTTTTTTGTCCATATCGCACAGCCCTACTTCACAAACACAAAACAGTGCGTTTCTGCTTCCATTCAAAATAGGCATTTTCAAAATGATATAATAAATTAACTGTGGGGTATTTTGAGCTGAAACTTCACAGACACATTTTGGGGACACTAGAGACACAATAAATCCTGTAAAAAGGGGCATGAAAGGTAACCTTTAAATCCTAATGCTAGCAGAATGAAATAGATGGAAAATTACATAGATGTTTAAGTGCTTTCTTTTAACAAGTAACCGCATTTCTTTGCAAAGTTTCTATGTAGGTTTTAATATTATGACAAAAGCTAATTTGAAAGATCTTGCCAAGGGCACAAAAAACCCATGGGGCACCCTGTCTGGGTGTGTAATTTCTTTGTTCGTGGCACCAAACAAAATTGCACAAAATAACGACCAATTTTAAATAGGTTTTTTCACTCATCTTCCATTGCATGGACAATCAGATGAGTTTGGATGCTGCTCCAAATTCATGTCATTGACCCTTGAATATCACTTACCTTAACAATGTGCAATGCTGAGAGCCAGTTTTTAAATCAACCTACGTTTTTTTTACGTAAAATTCTTTCTGCACATTAAAAAGGGATAGGAGATAGTATTTAACATTGTTAAAGTGTGCTGGAGCTATCAAGTTCTCTCAAACCTGATTTAGGGGAAGATTTAAAGCATTTAAAAACAGAAATATTGCTTTTTAGATGTGAACATTGTAAAAAATTATGTGCTCTTGTCATAAAAATCCAACACTTTTTTTCAACGTAATCACTCAATTAAACACTAACATTAGGTTGTCAGCAGCTGGTTAAACCTTTTCAACATAACTTCTTACAACATAACTAAACAAGCAGCACATTTGATTTGTCTTCCAGAGAAACACAATTTTCATTGGGCTGCACTGGCCCAGCAGGCCATAGAGTGAGTCCTGGTCTCTGGATTCCTTTACAGACACTGGAAAGAGAAGCACAGGGGGCTTCTGTGTCACTCTTTCAGGGTGAACCAGCCCACTCTCCAGCCCAAGAGCGTGGAAAAACTCTGCTTTAATGCAAGGGGTCTAATTTGAATACCATCTGGTGGCTAGTTGAATAGAGGTAACCAAGCCTCTAAAATGAGGCAAGAAAGAAAGACAACAGAAAAAGGGCAAGGTCAGGAAATAAGAGCATCACGGGGGGAGAGCTTTGGCACAGACAGAGAGAGAGAGGGGGAGCATCCCCCAAAGAGTTGATGGGTAGAGAAGGGGGAGAGGACGCTTGTGAGAAACATGTTTGTTCAAGACCATACAAGGAAAAAAACAGCTTGATCTCATTGTTTGTATGTAGGTATTTGTCCGTAACGTTTACAAGCACAAAATATACATTTTTGTATGTTTTGATTGATGCTGAAACGTACAATTTGGACATATTACAATGTTTAAACTGTAAAATTGATGCGTATTTACTGCAAACATTTTTTAATCATTTCATCAATAAGAGATTTAGATTTTTAGACCCCTTAACCTACCCCCAAACCTAAACCAACCCATTTTTTTAGCAATTAAAAAGATAAACCGTAATTGACTGAAATACACTCCTAAACTCAACAATCCTGCCACATTCAAAGACAGAAAGCCTTTTTTGCCTTGGCCATCAGGGGATCAGACACATGACAGTGTGACTGCCTAAAGGACAATGACATGAAAGCCATGATTAACACCAAAATAACAGTGTAAATAAAAAGATAATTGAGACCCTTTTTTCTGGTCCACTTCAAAGCGATCTACTGGCTGATGGGTTCGTTTTTTCCTCTGTAGATGTCTCTTGCCTCAATGTATGCCAGTGTAGTCCTACCCAACTAATATAGTAAACCAGTGTTTCTCAACTGGTGGGTCGTGACCCAAAAGTGGGTCGCAAGACCATTCTGGGTGGGTCGCGGAGTGAACAGTAAAAGAAAAAAACATCAACAACAAAAAACGTAATTCTAAATGTTTTTCTGATGCGAGACTTTTATTAAAGCTGCTGACACTTCTGTCAGACACATTTTAAGTGCTGTCCCGATTCAATATCTGCGGTCAGACGAGATTTTGTCCGGCTCAGTGTAATTATTCTATCATTATTTTCATAACTTGTTTAGAAATAAAAAGTCTCTCACCTCAGAAAAACAAACTATCATGTCCTGTCAGACCTTATATGGTGCTCATAGTGCACACTCTTCAATTGCACGTGCAATGCGGCGGTGCTCGCTGTTTATCACTTCATTAAAGCGGAAAAAAAACTATGAGTATGCAACGTGTTAAATAAATGTAAAGTACCAATAAATCACATAACTGGTACTTTGTGTGCTAGCTGAGAAGGATTTGCATGAAGGTATGATATTCATTCTATTCAGGAA